AATCATCTAAAAATTCACAAAAAACATCATTTATAAGATATTGAAATATAGTTGGTGCATTTGTGAGTCCAAAAGGCATGACATTACATTCAAAGTATCCATACTTTGTTCAAAATGTAGTCTTCCATTCATCTTTTTTAATGTAGACAAAATTGTACACTTTTCATAGATCTATTTTTTTATAGATCTTAGCTTGATTTTATTAATCAAAAAGTCCAGATATCAAAGATAAAGAATACCTATTCTTAATAGTAATCTTGTTGAGTCTTCAAAATTTATAAATATTTGTAGTGATTTTTTTTTTCTTCACAAATAAGACAAGAGCTTTAGCGAGGAATTTTGAATGGTGTATGAAATTCTTGGCTTAATTCTTGTCTATATACTTCTTGAGATTAGTCAATTCATTTTGTCATAAATTATAGATTGGACCAAATGGTAGCTGATTTTTTCTTCAAAGTTGATTGAGCAATCATATGGACAATGCTCCGAGAGAATATCTATATTTTTTTTCTTCAAAATATCTTAAAAATCTTGATATTGATTTAGAATACCACCTGAAATCTTTTCATCATTAAAAATGGATGTGGCATAAATAACAAAAGGTGATCCTTTTTTTATAGCATGCAAGAAAGCTTTTGTACCTATAAGAGTGGATTTGGCTATATTAGATTCATGGCCTTGTACAAAACTCTTAACAATATTCTAAAGAAAGTTAAGTTGATAATAAATCCAATCTATCAAAAGATTATATTTTTCTAGCTATGATAAAGTTAAAATGACCAAATTAGAGGGAGATCTAATTACATTAAAAATTACGCAATTATTACAACCATTTATTGTTACATCTATAGGAAGTATTTTATGAGTAATATCTCTCAAAGATAACAGATGGCCATCTATGACTTCTCTATGTAGGAATTTAGTTTTTTGTAGTGATAATATTCTATGGCTTTTAACAAATTCTTCATCTAAAAAATAAGTTGAGGTTCTTAAATCTATTAAGGCAAAGGCTTTGTGATTATTAAGTCATAAATGCACATCTATTGTAAAATAAGGAGAGGATTATAAGGAGAAGATAGGACCTTTATTTGTACAAGATTTCAACCGTATGGTTCCTATTATAGCCAAAGAAATTTTTTTTGACATTTCTTCATCTTTGACAATTGTACTCCTCATTTTGTAGTGGCGTCGTTTCTTTGAATAATGTTAAGCAGTGTATTTAGCTTCTCCATAATATAAATATAGTCCTTCTTGACGACAACAAGTCTTTTCATATTCAATAAGAGGTTTAAAATGTACTACATCAATTTGCATGTCTTCTACTTTCAAATGTTTAGATTGAAAATTTATTAGTCTTATCATTGAATTATAATAACTCAGAGGTTTTCTTGTGTGATTTTTAGATTGAAATTCAAAAAGTCAATTGTCACACTTCACAACAAAGTCAATTGCTTGATTCAATGTCTAAAGATCAGGTAAGTTGAGCATCAATTTCTTTACTTCATATTGTAAACCATAAAAGAATTAGCTAATAAGGGCAACATCATTCCACTTGACATTAATTGCTAGTTGTTGAAATTGTGAAGCATATGATGTCATTAATCAATTGTCTTATTGCAAAATATAAATCTTATTATTTGTAATACAAATTGTATTATGTTCTTCATACATAGGTCAAAATTCTATCAAAAAAGTCTTTAGATTATCCAATATTGGATCTTGTCATTCAAGAAAAGATAAAAACCATGATAATGTCAAACTTGAAAGAAGTGTACTACTGAATCTAACTTATGATCTTGAAGTTGGATAGCTTTGAGGTTAGATAGCTTTGAGGTTAGATAGCTTTGAGGTTGGAGTTCAATCACAAGTTGTACTTAATTGAAAAATCCTTGAAACTTAGACCGTATCCCATCAAACTTTATAAGTAAGGCAATTCTGGATTCTTCAATAATGGAAGGATATTCTAGTATAACAGAATGAATGTAATTCAATGTAGATGTTGAAGTGGCTCCAATTATGTATTTATCTTCACTTCCTATTATTTTTATTATTCTTGGTAGTAATAAATTGAATTGATACATTGCACATATCAACTTTCTCAATTGCTCTTGCATTTGTGCCATTGCACTTTTTATTTCAAGAAGCTCTGCCATCATAACACTTAGAAAAAAATGTCTAATATTGCTCAAAAAAAGCAGAAGAAAGGACTTTAAGAACAAAGAAAATACTAAGAATAATATTAGTTTAAAAGAGGATAATGTGCTATCTCTAATTTGATTATGTCTCATGAAGAAAAAATAATAATCCACTCTTAATCAAAAGAAGATAAATCTCTAATACTATAAAAGTACTCTTGTTAAACTATTAAAGACATGAAGTGAAATAAGATGCATAAACCTAAAAAATTTGTATCAAAAGAAAAATGACAAAAATAAAAATAAAAAAAATATGTATATTAAAAAAAAATTAGAATGGCTATTACTAAAGATAAAAAAACCAAAGACTCTTGAAATTAGATTAGAAATAAGAAAGGAGTTGACAAGAGTTAAATAACTTCACTCTTGTCTCTATATATAGTATCTACTTAGAATCTATGTAGCAATATTATATAGAATCTCTAAAAATATATTAATTTTATATGACTCATATCTTGACTTGCAAGGTAAGTTTCTTATATGGATACCAAATAGTTAGCTCGTTTTGCAAGCTACCAATACATGTAGCACATAGGTAGCTTATTGACCAAGTTTCTAATCTATCGATCAACTACAAATATATGTAAAATCAAAGCACTATCTAAGAAGCTTTTAAGAAGCTTTTTTAGAAGATATTATAAAATTAATATATTTTTACATAATTCTACCTATTCATATTACCTAGATAACAATTATATTAGATATATATCTATGACAGTCGATCGACAAAGATAACAACTACAGTGTGATTGTGAAGTGTCTGTAGCAAACATGTAATGAAATCTATAGTCACTTATTTCCAACATGCTATAGGTAGTAGAATTGTCTTCAATAGTCTAAAAAATGTCGTATTGTTGCATTGTGGTTTGGCTACCATGTGAAAATATTGTATTTATATATTTGATATATAATTTACTAAGTAACGTGGTAAGAGCCATATTAGTAGATTTTAGTTGGTTATAGAATGGAGTTAGATTACTATCCTAAAAGGAGGTTATTTAAAAGGACTATTATTAGAATTTATATAATTTTTTTTTATAATAACTTTTGAAATTGATCTTATTAGTAGTAACTTTTAAACATTTAGAATCACCCTTGTTAGACATTGGGGATCCTTGAAGTTTTATTTTGGTTCTTTTATTTGGTGTTTAAAACATATATTATATAAATCTTATTAGATAAAAGGTTGGAGATGGGTCTTGGAAGCAAAATGAGAAGTTAAGATATCTATATAGATGAATGGAGATGGATGATGAGAATCTCTATTTCTATTAGCCAAAAATCATATCCAATAGGCTTCATGGAGGTTACCGAGGCCTTATTAAGAATTAGGGTTATTGTTTTAGGGCCGTTTGAGCTTTAGAGGCTAAGGTCAGTAAGTTTAGGTTTTTGGCTATAGTTTTGGTGAAAATTTTGTGTGATTTGGAGTTTATATAAAAGAGATATGGGAACTCAAAGTTAAGGTGTTAATTTTGTACCTAGTGTCACTCTTTTAGATATAACGTACACATACAAAAAGAAATAAAGAATTGGCAATTGATATTGGAGTGATAACTTTTTTGGCTATATTTTTGGCATATTATTTGATAGATTCTAAGTTGGAATAAAGAAGATATTGGAGGTTGAAATCAATGCTTACAAATCTAAGGATAATAAGTGATCCGATTTACTAATGGTTGTATTTTGAGCTATATCTTAAGTACTTTGACAAGATTTTGGCTCAAAATTTTGAAGAATGTGTATAGCCATGTTAGTTAACTTTTTGGCATTTGAATTTTGGATTTTTGAGATATGAAGAAAATAGTACTTAGATACTTGTAAGTTAGGGTTTAGAGTCCCTACTAGGATTTTTAAGATTCTAGAAGATTAGTAGCAATTTTATGGTTAATTTTTTGTATTAAAGTTTAAATATAATAGCTATGTTATATAAAAATTTGAAAGAAATTGAATGGTTGGATCAAAATATATGAATTTCTAAAGTTTAGAAAAAAGAAATCAGGTTGAAGAAAAATATTTATTTTATATAATAATTTTAAAAGACTAAAATATCTTTATATATCACATATATATATATATATATATATATATATAGAAAACCATAAAAATATTTTAGAATATAATTACAAGCTAATATTATTTTATATAAATGGCAACGTTTATAAATATTGATTTAAATCATACTTGTTTAAAATTCTAAATATACTTGTATACTTTTCTTATATTTTAAATTAATGATCTTTTTATTCAGAGATTGAATTATATTAGATTAGTTCAATCAAAATTTGAACCTTACATGATAAGTTTTATATGTTTTAGATACAATATAAAAGATAGATAGAAATGCCCCTTAATACAATGGATTTAGGAAAATAATATATAATATATTTTTTAGTATATGTATATGTATATATATATATATATATATATATATATATAATTTTTACTTGTTTTTGTACTTTGTCTTAGAGATTATGGATCAAATTAAAATGCTTTGATTGTTACATAAATATTTCCAAGAAAATACATTAATTAATATAGGTAATATACAAACATAATCATACTAAACAAATGCAATATCTTTTAATAGTAAATTTTTGATTGTACCGAATGCATTTTTTAAACTAGCTGATACATCATAACCATCTTCACGAAAGACACTGCCTTATCATAACCATCTCACAAAAGACACTGCCTTGTCTTTAGTAGTTTTTATTCATAAGGTTTTGAGATCGTGATCTAGACTAAATTCCTTATAGATTTGTACATCCACAGCTATTCACCCATCCATTCAATCATACATGCATAATTTTTCAAATATGATTGTGTCAATGTAAAAGACAAACGCAACATAAACTTTTCACCTATCAACGTGAAAACTCTGTATAGCAAAGAAAAATATTCCTCTACTTCAAATTTGTGCTTATTATTCCCCTGAAATTCTGTAATTAATCCCTCATAATATCTGAGAATAGATATATCAATGGAACTAAGATCACCAAACACAAGTTTTGAACCGTTCTAGAAAATGTATAGCTCTACATACTACTTGATTATTTATCCTACAGATTCAAAATGAAGCAAGTTCTGGCGTAAATGAGACTGAGCGTGTGAAATGCATAGGTGCCTACCCTTGCAGTTTGGGGATGCGACTAAACTGCATTCCGACATTGCAGGCCTTCTTCTCAAAAAGTTCCGATGTTCTCTGCTGCGTGGCTTAATTACATCATTTGATCTCCGGATCCCCACCAGAGCGTCAACGGACGCTGTGTCTTTCCAGGAAGTGTTAGCATGGAATAACAGTACAATGGGAACCAGTCGGTAGTAAGGCAATCTCCGCTGAACAAGCAAGTGGACAAATTTTCATAAAGAAAAGTCAGCTGATGTTCATATCGGAAGTTTATCCGAAGGTGGCCAGCTGTGGTTCACGGCGGCTCACCCGTCTCACTTATGATTTGGTTTAGAACTACGTTGTGTAGGGTCAAGGAATCTTAATGCATGCATTTATCTCCCAGAAACACTCAGCACCACCAGATGATAACCATATAATCAAACGGAATTCCTGCCTCCACGTGAACTTACGGCCGCACACAGCCGGCACGGCAAAGAATCCAGGCTCACTGCTCGAGTTCGGCCATACACTCCTAGCACTCCACACCGCCTCCACGCATGATACTCGGCATACAGCACTGGATCAGCTGCCACTTTCTTCACATACTCTGCCAACCCTTGTATAGTTGCAAAATTTCTACCTTGAATGATAGAATGCGGTGGAACGAAGTCCTCCACATTGGGTGCCCCAAAATATATTGGCACGGCGCCCGCGTCCAGTGCATAGTACAACTTTTCCGTCACATAGCTCTCTATCTGCGAGTTCTCAATGGCTAGCACAAACTTGTAGTGTGACATTGCACAATGCAGGTTTTGGTTCCATACATTCCCAGCTCCACTGCCGCTGCTACATTTAGGATACATTTCGAGGATCACATCCATGCCTCCCACGTTGTTGAGGCATTTCCCGAAGGAGTGGTGTGGCAGGAATCCAAGCACTTCAGAGGCTATTCTTTGCCGCGATTCAACGCACCTAGATGATGACCAGTATACGAGTACGTCCTGGGTGGTGATTGCAAACAATGAGAACAGGATACATTGCATACAACTTGTAAACCCACAGAGATCTGAATACAAGTTACTGTCGCATTGGGTCTCCGAGGATGTCTTGAATTTATCCTTGGGGTATTACTTTCAATACAACTCTAGGCATGGAAGTTTCAGTTCCTGCTTAGTCGATCCTGGCACTGACTTGTTCGTCTCTCCTCAGTGATAAGGAAATTAGGGAACCAGAATACACTACATGTCATTAGTGGGTTCTTCTACCTCTAAGCTGTTCTTGTTTCCAGGAATTGGATTGCAGATCGGTTACGTAGAAAATTACCAAAATTACAGTAGACATTAGGTCGAAGAGAAAATTTTGGGTGCTTACATCGTGCTTGACAGGAGAAATGTAGTAGTTGCGAATGGTATGAAAAGCAGCTCCTGCGTATGTCACCTGCAAGTCGTCATTGGCATGGTAGCTCACAAATAAATCTTGAGATGGCGCTCTATTTCGACCAGGTTCTAAATCCATGTAAATTCTCCAAGGCTCACCCTTTCGCCTCTGTAGCATTCCCACGATTGTAAGATTAATAGATGTTCTGATAGACCCTGAAATTCAAGTACCCTCGACTCTAAAGTTGATACATTCCCTGGTAATTTACATGTCTGCGACAGGTCAGTGAAATAAGAAGCGATGTTTCATGCCCTAGTGATAAGTGATAATATTAACCAAGATAGCCCAAAAAGGTGCATAGGCAAGTATGTTTCAAGATGTTCTTCAAAAGATCTGGGGAACGAATGAAAAGCACAAACCCTACTAGGTGGTGTAGCCGACTCATATAAATGCGCATCGGGTCTATCCAAGAGCACGTCAGAGTTTGTCCACAAGCACGTCAATCCACAGTCGCATGAGTATAAGTTGTTAAGTGTATCCGGAATCCAGGTCCATTTCTTGACTAATACAGACACGTGCTGCTTTCGCAATATTGTGCAATTGTCCACTGTGGGGTTTTGAAGACTGCGTAAAGTAGAACTTGTCCTGGTCAACATCATAGCAGCATGTTTTAAGGAAACACGGATGATCCAGACTCCTCCAGTGCATTGCTTCCACACGTTACAAAATAAACGAAAATTCTACGGACTGAAACACTGTGTAAAGAATACCTCTTTCAAGTGTGGTCTAGACTCTCGACTAGTAAAAGAACAACACAAGGACACTCTCCTGACCAACCAAACTAAGAGCTACGAAGGCAATGGTGTCTTTCTAATGATCTACCGAATTTAGATCTGCAAACAAATCGTGCAACATGTTGACCCTTCATTTACACAATAGTTGCTCCAAGAAGAGGGGAAGAAGTGCCTACAACAAGTTATCAACCTGGGGGTGTCCTTCATCAAAGTGAAGGTCGGTGAACGATATAATTTTGTGCAATTGTTACTTCGATAGATCGATGAGTACTTAACTACAGAAGATTAGAGAAGCTCAAAATTTTTCTCGAGAAGAAATGAACCTGTTTCCATACGAATACTTTTTTTTAAAATTGCCGCAGCCAACTCTGGTGTCCCAAGCAGTGTAATCCACCCTTGAGCCGAGAACAGTTTCCGAATGAGAACCGAAATCCATTTGGCTTTGGTGCTCTCCCTCAACTTCATCAACTTCTTTTACACATGGAACACTTCTCGTGTCGTCAGTCCTGGAAGTATCTTTACCTGCTGCCCTAGCAACAATATCTGGGAACTTTCTGGTGAAGTTATCAGACGTGGTAAGCGCAAAGACCAAGAGAACGAAGCTAAAGGAAATCCACGCACAACGAATGAGTTGCAACTTCGTTACACCTCTCAAGAAACCGGATGGTTCCATATCAATCGTTAGTATCACTCAGAACTGTTCAAATATGAGACTGTTTGTGAGCAGGAGACCTTGGCGTAATAGTCTTGAGACCGCGCACAATACACTGTCTAGAAAGATAAAGTAAGACTGGCGGCAGCCATGTGGTCCAATTCAGTTGTTAACAAATCCTAGACTACACATAAGAAAACCCTAAAAAAGAGCACATAAGTCATAGCTGGGTTGCCGTCAATGCTCAGCCTAGGGCTAGCAAGGGTAACAGTACGAATCGTCCTCTCCCAACAGAGGCCATGCAGCTGAGAAACATCACAGTGAGGACCGAGGAAGGAAGCAAAGCCCGAGAGAAGACGAGAGAAGAGGAGGAGGTGGGGAGCGGGAGTGAAGCTTTAGGAAAGGAAATCAGGGAAGGAGGTCGACAAAGTAGACGACGGCGGCACGGAGCCAGAGGACGAGGATCGAAGGAACAAAGAAGGGGGCGAAGTTGACAGAAGAAGAAGTAGAAGACGAAGTAGAAGGGAAGTGGATGAAGGAAAGGAAGGAGGAGGAGAAGGAGGGCGTGGGGACTGGCAAGGTGCTCGTGAAGACACAGCACCGTGCCCACGAGCAGAGCAGAGCGTGGTGACTCCTCCCTCCTCCTCACTCACACACACACACACAGGCACCTGGACATATACACATTTCCCGGAATTGCTCCCTCCAATCTGCGTCAGGGAGTGCGTGATCCATGTGCTGCCGTGGCCCTCACATCTTACTTTACATTTCATACTTGTCACTATGTCTATAATATATATACTTATCTTATCACTCGAATGGACGTACAACTTCTGAGTATAGCATGTTTATTACCATGCATTACAATTTTCATCCGATGCTACATGATTCTGTGTTTCACATCTCTCAAACTATTTATATTTGTATTTATATCTTTATAGCTTCTTTTACATTTCTATTTTGCAGAGGATTGGAATTCATAAATAAGTCAAATTCAACTTTTAACTTTAAATAGAATCTATGATTGTGATTGATTTAAAATAATTTTCTATCTTAATCAAACAATTTTCCAAAACATATTGATTTTAGGCTTTGTATTTTTTTTTTATTATTATTTTTTTTTTTATTGAACTTACTTGCTAACTTATATATAGTTAGTTAGTTAGTATAATCTATATTTTTGGATTTTTTACAAAAAAAAAATTAAAAGTTCAAAATATTATATATTTACTATTAATTCCTAATTCATTTTTGTCATCTATTATATAACAATGAAATTTTAATGACTATTTTATTATATATATATACATATATTCACATACATACATATCATTAGAAATTATTTTTAAAAAACTTAAAAATATATTTTATAAGTATTTAAATGTTTAGCTTAAGAGCTAATATTACGTATATATGTTTGTGTATGTGATTTATTCTTATAAAATTAAGGTGGTAATTTTAAATTTTAAATCTGGTGATATTTACATAAAATGTGTATAAAAATAATAATAACATTAGACTCAAGTTAGATGGAAGATAAGTTAGATGGAAGATGATAAAGTCCAAGCAAGAAGCAAAGGTAGATTTGAAAAAGATTGAGCTTAGAAATCTGAAAGATATAAAAATGAGGATCAAACTAAAAGACCTCATAAGCATTGCTTGCAGAACCAAGCTCAATTTCTTGTAGGATTTCTGAATCAATTTCATTGTAAAAAATCTAATTATGAGGGAAGTTCCTTCAAACATAAGTGATTTAATTTGGAGTGAATAGTATTCCATATTAACTTCTACAATATCCAAAAGGGTTATAAATGCCATTGCACGTAAGATACAAGAGTGAGACAAGACTTTAAACTCTAGATTCTCTTCTTTCATTCCAATCATTATAATCGCATCAACAAGACTCAAATAATGGTCATTACAAAGGCTTTGGCTACTATCTAGATAGTAAATTAGGCAACATTATTCTTTGATACCATTCAATGCTCTATCATCAAAACTAAAAAGATCCAATTTATTTTGATTTATTTGTTTTTGTACCACATTTATTAAGTCCACAATCTGTTGACAATCAATGAAAAAGAAGAATGGATAGACTAAGATGTTGCTTCATACTACGAGATAGCTAAGATTCAAATTGTAGAAGACAAGTTAGACATGTTTTCAATAGAAGATAAAGATGAAGAAATTTTGGAACCATTTCAAAGGATTAGTCTTCAATTAGATCTTGAGCTATCAAATCAAGAGACTTGAATAGCAACTTGTGATGCTAATAAAAACTCTATGTTCAAAAAGATTCTATCATTAGGTTCTAAGTTAAACTTTCTATCATGTATTTTTGGTGGAATTATTAAGTATACAAAGTATATTGAGGTCGAGTTCTTTAGCATATAAAGAGTAGTAAGAGAGTTGCAGAAATTACTTTAAAAAGTTGTAGATTTAATTTTCCTACTACTAATTGTCTTAACATTATTAAAAGAGAAGTAAGTGCTTGAGTCCAAAGTTTCTAAGGAAGTGGAAACATTAGCTCAAATGAAAGAATTGAAGGTTGTGGACAACAAAACAGATCATATTTTTCAATAAATTGATAAGTTGGTTGAATACTTAAACATTGATTTTAAGGACATTTTTGAAGTTATCTTTTGACATAATAATGTTGCAAAGGATGCAAAAATGAAGACAAAACAGATTGTTGAAGTAATTATGGAAGTAACAAAGAAGTTTAAGAAGATTAGAAAAATATCATGAATATTTTGAGAAGATGTTTGGAGGAATTTGACTACTTGCTAGTTAAATACCACTATGCAAAGTATACAAGATCCAACCATTAGACATAGAATATTACAAACTCATTCTAACATCGCTCATTTGAATTGAATTTTGAGAAAGGTGAAATATTAAAAAATATATATGCTAACTTCTTAGCTAAAACTACATTATCTTTCAAGATATTACAAAATATATACATAATAGTATGTTTGTCAAGGACATGAATCTCAAGGAAAGAAATCCTTAATACACTCTTGTATCACCAAAGAGAATTAAAAAGTCACTCAAAGATGACAAAATATTGAATTAGAATAGCTATTGCCAAAAACAAGAAGACTAAAAAGACTTGAAACAAGAGTAAAGATTAGAAAGGTGTTGATAAGAGTGAAGAAGGCTTCACTCTTGCCTACATATATACTCTCAACTAGGAGCTATGTGGTGATATCATGTAAGATCTCTAAAAAATATTGACTTTACAAGACACATATCTTAACTTGCAAGGTAAGTTTTTTTATATGTGTAGCACATAATTAGCTTGTTCTATAAGCTACCAACATGTGGTTAAATTTTTAACCAAGTTTCTAACCTATTAATCAATAATAAATATATGTAAAGTCAAAGCAATGTCTATAAAGCTTCTAAAAAGATTCTTTAGAAAATATTATGACATTAATTTACTTTTATCTACTTCTATCTAATTATATAGGTATTTATTAGAATACATATGTATATCTATGACATTATCCCCTCTTTTAAGGACAAGTTCCATAAGGAACAATTATCATGGATTGATGAAATCCAAGATGCCACAAATTATATTTGCCACATATTTTGATCTTTATTCTCTTTAAAGATGGTTGACAGATCTTCTTAGCCATTAATAATGTGTCATACCAAGACAAAAATACTACCTTGTTATTTGATTATTATTGAGGCCTTTATAACTTCTTTCAAATAAAACATTTAGAACATTATTAGGAGTTGTTTCTATCTCTAATAAAATCACCAAACATCAAAAATCTCTTTTAAGATTTTAATATCAAATATATTGTATCTTGCAATTTATTTGACATAGAACATGTCTGTAACAAGATATAAATAAGATATTTATATTGTTGACATATAAGGATAGATATTTGGAACCATGTTTGAGAAGTTATGGAAGTTTCTAGAATTGGAACTATGTTAGCGGATAATGTAGGATCTATCGTGGAACATTCTAAAAAAACTTAAGGTGATTATTTAAATAAAATCTACCATAGAATCTTTTAAAAGGAATTTAGGATAATTATCTAAGTAGAATCCATAATTTTGAAACATTCTAAAAAGGCTAGGATAATAGAAAAAATAAAAATAGACCTAATCATGGCTTTTTGAGCATCTGGCCAGATATAACTTTGGACTTATTTTTTAATAAAGTTTGATTTTGCATCTTATTCAATTCTATTTTCATTTGCATAATTTTTTCTTTTATGTCATATTATGTTTAATTTTGTTTAGCTTTATTTTCGTTCATTTTTTCCTATTTTATGATGAGGTTTGATGTTGTCGTGGATTATAAGAATCTTAGATTCTTAAGATGGACTGGTCCTATTTCATTGGTATCTGAGCAAGTGTTAGACTGTTCTTTGGTAGTGTATCAATAGCCATCATCTAATTCTAGGTCAATTATTATGGTCACACTGGATATTATATTGAGGCTACCATGATCTATTCTTAAAAAGTCAATTAGAAGACAAGAAAACATTATAATAGTAGAGTTCAGCAAAAACATTTCAACATAAAAAATATGGCAGAGCAATTCCAGATGGAGGTTCCAATATAACACCCCTTAGGATAGATAGCTATTGTGTAAGGGCAAATAGAAGCATCTAGGATAAAGAAGTTAACATTTGTTAGGTTAAAATTGAATAAGACTAGTACTTACTTTAGAACTTCAAGACAAGGAGATGTATGTCAATAGTTCTTGAACATGCAAAAATACCTCCAACTATCTAAGGTAAATACCAGTGAAAGAATTATATATATAGCCAGCTATTTGGAAGATGGAACATGCATTTGGTGGTGATATCAAATTCAAAGCTATGGAGCTTAAGGTGGATTTTGTGATTGAGAGGAGTTTGAGACCAAGTTTAAGAATCAATTTTGGTTCATCAATGCAAAGAATATAGCATGCAATCAATTGGAAAGTCTTACACAATTTAAGCCGGTGCAAGTTTATGTCTCTTGATTCAAGTTTCTATGTCTCCAAATTGATAAAGTTTTAAAAGCAAAGATGATGGATCAATTTCTATAAGGTTTGAAACCTAGGATCCAGCAAAAGATAGAACTAAAGGATCCGCAAAGGTTTGAAGAGGCAATTAAAATTGCAATGAGGGTTGATGATGTAGATTTCAGAAATCCTAGAGTACACCTTATACCACAAAGTCTTATGCTGCTATCTAATACTATGACACAATAATTAATGTCAATGAAGATTGATGTTTCACAAGGATCATTGATACCACAAAGATGACAAATATTGGTATAAAAGAGATTATGTTTCTATTATTAAGAGCCAAGCCATCAGATCAAAGATTGTCCAAAATGCCAAAATTTAATCATCAACAAAAGAAGATGGATTCACAATTTTGAAATTTATCAAGTCGATAATAATACAAAGTAGAAAAATAAGGATCCTTAGATACTAAGGGCTAGTATTAGAAATACCTATTGTCTCTTAGAGACAAATGACATGGCCTTGGACAACTATAAAAAGAATCGACTGGTGTATCTAATATGACTACTAAGAAAATAACTATGTTGAGTGCTTGTGGATTATGACTCTATAGAAAATTGCATCTTGATTGAAATCTCTATCGATCAATCTAAGATTAAAACTAAAATAATCAAAATA